ATGTTTTGCGAAGGTTGACTTGGTAGGCATCTGAACCAGTCAACTGATTTTGTTTTTTTAATACAAATAGTTATTAGAAGGGAGTGAATATCATTTACTTGAAAGCTTACGTCATCAAGCTGTAGGCCCTGCCAACTTGAGTATAATTTAGTTGATTACATTATGTATTTGTCTTAAAAGTGAGACGTTCGATAATCCTGACTGTAGGTCTTGCCAACTTGAGTATAATTTAATTGATTACATTATGTATTTGTCTTAAAAGTGAGACGTTTGATAATCCCCACGTTGTTGAAAACTGTATTCGCCTCTAACTTTTATGTCTTAGTCTCACTTGTTCTTGGCTCTAAAACTTCTATCCAACTAAACTCCAACTCTGAGTAGGTTGATGGAGGAACCTACAGCATATGGAAAATTGGGTTTGGCTAATCTACTGGAACTGAGGGAAGAGTGCTTGAGGGAGTTCCAATTTTTTGATGCCTATAGAAGCATAAAACAGAGGTAAAAAAAAAAATATATATATCCTTTATTATTGATTTTAAAATATCATTATGGATAGCTGTTTGGAGTATTGATTTCCTCTCCCTCCTTCACGCAATATCCTTTTTCTCGGTCGATCAGGGAGAATGAGGCATCACTTGGTGTTTTACCTGACCTGCTGTTGGAACTTGATAGTATGAATGAGGTATCTATAAAAACTTTACACTGTTACTCACTCCATGGTGCAATAGAAGTCCAGCAGTTATAGATCAACAACTTAAATGTTTTTCTTATAGTAACATATCCAATTTATCTGCTTCATGGTTTGCTTGTTAATTTGCAGGAAGCAAGACTTCTGACCCTAATTGAAGGTGTTCTTGCTGCAAACATTTTTGATTGGGGTTCTCGTGCCTGTGTCGATCTCTATCACAAGGGGACAATAATTGAGATTTACAAAATGAGTCGCAATAAGATGCAGAGGCCGTGGCGGGTAATCAAATTTAACTTTAGGAGTCCATGTAGTGAAAAATGTCAACTGTCCTTAACTGTTAAATTTTCATATCAGTGCTGATTCCAACTGTTTTTTTCTAATGTTTATATATATATAGGTCGATGATTTTGATGCCTTCAGAGAAAGAATGTTAGGATCTGGGGATAAGAAACCCATTCCTCATAAAAGAGCTCTTCTCTTTGTGGACAACTCAGGTGCTGATGTTGTTCTAGGGATGCTTCCCCTGGCAAGGGAACTCCTCCGACGTGGAACTGAAGTAAGTTTACGTCGTTTTGATACTGAAAGAAAAATTAATTCTATAGGTAGCTGTTTTTTGTCTAGTCCGCTCCATGCAACAATCTGTTCTTCGTACTTATTCTCCATTAAAGTACGCCTCAGTAGTGATCAGGAGTGTTCGTTCCAGGTTGTTTTAATTGGAAACTCCCTTCCTGCCATAAATGATGTAACCGCAATGGAGCTTCCTGATATAGTAGTTGAGGCTGCCAAGGTACTTTTCTTCCCTGTGCATCACCTCTTGGCATTCATGTTTAATCAGCACGCATGAGTATTTAATTATCTTGTCCATTCTTGAACCAGTGTTTCAGACGCTCAATTTTCATACTATAGCTATTTCCTCCTAGATTTTTGCAGTTTGCTTGTTTCTTTTGTGTCTGTGCCATCAAACATTATGGACTCTGAAATATGAGGCATTAAAGAACCTATAGAACAGGCCCTGTTCAAGCAAGCTCGTGCTGTTCAGTTAATTTAATCGACAAACGTTTGTTTGCAGCACTGTGACATACTACGTAGAGCTGCTGAAGCGGGCGGATTGATTGTGGATGCCATGGTTAACACTGCGGATGGTTCTAAAGAGCGTTCATCATCTGTTCCCCTGATGGTTGTAGAAAATGGCTGTGGTAGTCCATGTATAGATCTAAGGCAGGTCAGCTCTGAGCTGGCTGCTGCTGCAAAAGATGCTGATTTGGTAATACGTTCTTTCATTTCAAAAGTTAATAGTAACAAATATATTAAAAAAGTAGGCTCAGTGAGTAGCAAATATCTCCTCCTCCCGGGGATTGACACGTTACCAACGGCAAGCGTAGGAGACAATGAGGGTAATATAAACTCACTGTTTCAGACCTGTAACAACCCAAGCCCACCGCTAGTAGATATTGTCCTCTTAGGGCTTCCCCTCAAGGTTTTTAAAACGTGTCTACTGGGGAGAGGTTTCCACACCCTTATGAAGAAAGTTTCGTTCTCCTCCTCAACCGATGTAGGATCTCACAATCCACCCCTCTTCGGGTCCCAGTGTCTTCACTGACACTCGTTTCCTGCTTCAATCGATGTGGGACCCCCCAATCCACCCCCTTCGAGGCCCAGCGTCTTTGCTGGCACACTGCCTCGTGTCCACCCCCTTCAGGGCTCAGCCTCATCACTGACACATCATTCAATGTCTAGTACTGATACTATTTATAACAGCCCAAGCCCACCGCTAACAGATATTATCCTCTTTGGGCTTTCCCTTTTGGGCTTCCCTTAAAGTTTTTCAAACGCGTCTACTAGGGAGAGGTTTCCACACCCTTACCCTTATAAAAAATGTTTCGTTCTGTTCCCCAACCGATGTGAAATCTCACAACTAGAAGAAACTGAAACTTTGTGTGAACAACTAATAAGAATTTGTCGTCGCCATCTGTCTGTAAAATGAAAAAGACGAAGAAAATAGAAGCTACATGAACTCGGAGTTTGTTCTAATGCAGGTTATCTTGGAAGGAATGGGGAGAGCCCTTCATACCAACTTAAACGCCCAATTTAAATGTGATGCTTTAAAGGTGATGTTCACTGGTTCTCTAGTAATTGATCTGGCCTGTTCTTCTTCTTCTTCTTCTTCTTCTTCAAGTTTTCACACAAAGTGTTGCTTTTGCAGCTTGCCATGGTGAAAAATCAGAGGCTGGCAGAGAAATTGTTCAATGGAAAGATATATGACTGTGTGTGCAAATACGAGCCATCACACTGAGAGCCCTTTTCCATTTCCAAGCTATCACTCTCAGTTTGTTCATCAGAATTTTTGAAATATTCTCCACCTTTTTTATGCGAATATTTAGAACAATACATCAAATTCATAGCCTTAGGACCTCATATATCTCTTACTAAAAAGATTCTAAAGGTGGAGATGTGAAGTTTATGGAATTTTCAATGATATAGTATCAATGTATTCAAGATATTAAAATTAGCAAGCGAACACATTTTTTTTCGAAATGAGTTATACGTTTTTATTATTAATATTAGGTCTCTCTTAGCGGATGTGTATATTGTAACGGTCTAAGCCCATCGCTAGCATATATTGTTTGCTTTGACCTATTACGTATAGCAGTCAGTCTCATGGTTTCAAAACACGTTTACTATAGAGAGGATCTCTAGCCGCATTTTAACCAGTGCATCGTGTCACAATCGCACTCTTGATGGCAGCGGACTTACGATTGTGCAGCAGTCACTTTCCAACGACAAGTGAGCTAAGCCAATTTGTTCTTGCGTCGCCTACGGCCAAGCGACGTATGCTCGAGCCTCTTGCCTCTTGCCTCGGTTTAAGAAAACGAGGGCAGAGAGAGATTTTTGAAAGAGACGTTATATAAACAAGCAAGAGAGTAACAACAATGACTTTGTGAGGCATTTCATGTTTGGCAGGCCTAGACATGATTTTTTCAAAACGTCTTACTTTCTAGAAATACAAAAGTAAAACACTAGAACATGGGAAGACACAAAGGGTTTGACTTGTTATGGGCATGCGGTCATAGATAACATGCCTTGGACGAGCATGACTCTGACACATCGTACCTCTTGGTGATTGAGTCTGATACCATTTATAATAGCTCAAACCCAGAAGCAAATATTATTTGCTTTAGTTTGTTACATATCGTTGTTAGCCTCACGATTTAAAAATACGTCTGTTAGGAGGAGATTTTCACACCCTTATAAGAGATGTTTCGTTCTCCTTTCCAACTAATGTGGAATTTCACGATCAAGTTATATATATATATATATATATTTCAACCTATCGGCATATAAAACATTGATGCGTCGACCTAAAATCCTAACGTAGTTTTGTTTGCCGATTTTACATTTGTTCATCTCAACAAAGAAAGTAAGACAAAATATGTTTTTTGGTTCGTGAGGTTAAGATTTCATGTTTGTTCGATTTTCGAACTATCAAAACCAACACTTTAATCCCGACATGTATAATTGTCGCTTTTGCCAGCATCCTATTACTTACTGATACTTGTCACTAGATTGTCGACCTTGCCATTTATAGTTGTTGTCCAACATTGAAACCAAACAACGAATCTTTGCCGTCGTAACGTACGCCCAAATATGAAAAGAGTCATTAACAAAAAATCTAAGGATTTATTTACGTTTTTGGAATAGATCATAGAACAAAGATCTCTTACAACATCTAGATTTACACAAAACAAAAAACAATAATAATAATAATAATAATAATAAATAAAATTAAAAAAATTAAATAAGCTCTTTAGTCAACCACAGAACAACATCTAGATTTACACAAAACAAAAATAATAATAATAATAATAATAATAATAATAAATAAAATTAAAAAATTAAAAATTAAAAATTAAATAATTAAAAAAATTAAATAAGCTCTTTAGTCAACCACAGAAAATCATTAACAAAGGGTTAATTTATTAAGAATAAAGAACCATTATGAAAAATTTAAAAATTATTGAAAATTTAATGAATAAAAAATTTGGTATCAATCGAGCATCTGTTCATTCACCAAAATCATGTCTAGAACGGGCAGATTGTAAATAATTTTTCATTCATATTTCAAAATTTTAAAAGAATTTATATATTTAAGAAAAAAAAACAAAAAAAAACAATGGATGTGTACACACCGTTCAAGGGAGAAGAGTAAGGCAAGCGGTTTTAAATTAATTACTTATTTATTTTTTTTCTGTCTCTCTCTCTCACCGTAATTGTTGAATCCTCGGCCTTTTTTCTTCAGCTTTTCAGCGCCTGCAAACAAACCTGTATGCTTTCTTTCTCTCTGTTTCCCTTTCCTTTTTCTTCTCACTTTACTAATTATTATCCAAATCATCCCTCTCTGTCATCGAATTCTTCGCTTTAATTATAATCCTGCCTCCTCCGCCTTCAATTTCAGTGAGTTTGATCTCTGTAAATTCCGATTTCAATTCCACTAGTTTATTCATTCGACTTGGATTCTTGATTTCTGTTTCTTATTCTTTTCCAGTGTGTTTGCTGCTGGAGTTTATTCTTTTACTTTTTATTTGTTGATTGTTCTTAAATTGGGGACTAGGTTTATTTGATTGTTTTTCTATCAGTGTTGTTAATGCTAGAGGTTTGATTGTTTTGTTTTTTGTTAATGTTTTCCTGCTCTACTTGATCAGCTTCATTGATGTGATGGTGTGGTTTTGATAATTTGGGGGAGACGTGTTTAGAGTTAGAATGGAAGACCCCAAAACCCCAGAAACCCTAGAAGCTCAAAGCCCTGCGAATGAGATTAGCGAGGATATTTCTGGTTTTTCTGGTTTGGTTGATTTGAGTGGTGGGTTAACTGTGGAGATTCCGGTTGCTGAGAATGCCAATGGCGTAGCGGTTAGTAATGTCGAATTGAGGATTGAGGAGGATGAAATGGGAATTGGCGGTTTAGAGGGAGAAATTTTGGATGCTGGTGGAGATGAAGACGGTGGTGATGGTGGTGGAGCTGAGAATGACCAGAACAATGGCAACGCGGTGGAATTAGACGGTCTTTCTACAGGGAAGAACGTCGAAGTTTCTGGCGATGGTATATCGCTTACAGTGGACGTCTCAAATGTTCAGCCAGGAGAACCAGAGCTTCCCAAGTCAATAGTAATTGAAGAAATTTCGAAAGAAGCTGGAGATGAAAAGCAGGTTATTGAAAATGGTGAAGAGAACAAATTTTCGGTTGGTGATGTAATATGGGTCAAGACCAAAAGTCAGACATGGTGGCCTGGAAAGATACATCCCTCAGATGCAGTAGACAGTGACGCCAGTAGCCAGAGTGACAGTCTTTTAGTTGGCTATTTTGGGAGCAGCCATGTGACATGGTGCTCTACATCTCAGTTGATACCCTTTGCTGAGAACTTTGAGCAGATGTCCGGGAAGTACAAGTCTCGAAGTTTCCTTGGGGCTGTAGAGAAAGCTGTGGATGAGTTTGGTAGGTGTGTGAAGTTGGAGATGACGTGTTCGTGTATTCCTGAAGGAAACCGCCCATTAGAAGGTGATGATGGATCAAAGGATACAACTTCTCTGCCTCGGCGCAAGTCTGGTTTCCTTGCTAAATATTCTGTTGATCAGTATAAACCCGAAACATTCCTAGCACGTGTTAAGGGTCTTGCGCAGATTGTTTCCCTATGTGGAGCACTAGAGTTGAGTATCCTGTATAATCAATTAGCAGCTTTTCAAAGCTCAATAGGGCACCTGCAGTTACCTTTGCATCTGCTCTGGGAAACTCATGATGCTGACGACAATGTGGCGAGCAGATCAGTGAGAAAAAGCAAAACTCGTGTTACAGTGAAAAATGATGAAGAACAGGTAGAAGATGGCACACAGAGCTCACCGTTAGAGACACTGCCCATAGGATCAGACGTTCTACGTGAAACGATGGAGGGAAAGATTGAAGATCCAAATAAGGTACTTGACGGAAGCATGGAAGGGGGGAAAAGGAGCTCCAGAAGAAAGACAATTGCTGATGAAGGAATCGAATCGAGATCGTTAAAGAGAAAAAGAAGTGACAAATTTGAAGATCTTGAATCCAGCAAAATGGATTCTTCAATCAAGGGAGAGGTCATCAATCCATTAGCTTATGAAGGCAAGGATTCTGATGTGGGAGACTTTGATGATGGGAGCAAAGGGATGTCGGAAAAGAGATCGGAGACGAGAGAGAGGAAGAAGAGCAAGTATTTATCTTTTCCATACATAAACTGGGGGCCGAAAAGTATGCCGGCTGACACAGAAGGTATTAAGGCGCTTAAAATTTCTAGCGAAGGTGAGGATGAAAGTGAAGCTGAGGGCAAGAATGAAACCCCTTTACTTTCTAAATGCAGTGGCAAGTTCTGGAAGAAGTGGTACTGGAATATCACCAGTGGCAGTGATGTTGCTGGTAATCAAGAGTTAACGAGTGTTTCGCCAGCTGAGTTTCTTTCTGAGCTTCATTTTACTGCTGTGAATTGTCTTTATCCAAATGAAAGTAATAACTTTGACGCTGTCGCTCAGTTCTTCTCGAGATTTAGAATTCTCACGTTTCATGATGAATCTGTCGATGCTGGTCAAAATGAGGCAAAGACTGCTGAGGTTAAGCATCCTTCTTCTAATGCTAAATCAGGGATCAAGAAAAGAAAAAGTCAGGCAAGTTCTATCTCGGAAATGGAAGAGGTTAAGCATCCTTCTTCGACTGCTGAAATATATCCTGCAGGAGAGGCACAAAAAAAGACCCCTCTGTCTAAAAATGATGGAGAAAGCTTGGGGAGATTGAAGACTAAATCCCTTTCTGCCTTGTCCGATGTGAACATAAACATTTCTTCGAGTAGCCCGCTTACAAAAGACTCACCCGAGATTGGACCTGGACCACTCTCACCCAATGGTTTACCAAAGCGAAGGAAGAGAAAAAACGATGGATCGCTTCTCCAGAGTAAATCAACAACAGAGATACCTGATTTAAATGGAAGTGGTTCGGCACCTGCCTTGTTGGTGGAAGATCAGCGGGCTGCGAGCCAGGTTGCTTCCCAACAAAAGTCTGAGCCAAAGAAGAGAAGGAAACTTGGTGCTGTTAAGGAGCATTCAAAGGTGTCTTCTGAATTCATAGATGCGAATAACAGCAATGAACCTGGTTCCTTTTTCATTGATCTACAGGTCTCAGTTCCACAACCACTTGGTGTGATTTCAGAGAAAAATAAAGTGGATTTTGAAGGAGCGCCTAACCAGTCGGTGGAGGAGCAGACAATTGCCCAGGATCAGAGCAAGTCTGGGGTCAAAAGCCGAAAGAAGAAGGAGAAACCGCCATTGACAGATCCGAAGGTAATCTTGCCTTCTGATATACCAGATTTAAATGGAATGGGTATTGAATCTAGTCAGGGGAAAGACTCCCAGTTGACTAAACCAAAGAGGAGGAGGAGGAGAAAAGGTGAAGCTAGTTTGAACCATCCGAGTCCTTCTGACAAACAATATATCTATAATAAAGTTGAAACTGATGGTGATGGATTAGGATCTCTTCTTCTCTTGACTTTCTCTTCAGAAGCTCCCTTACCGCCCCGGCAGCAAGTTATCACAACGTTTAGCCAGTTCGGATCTTTGAAGGAATCCGAGATACAGTTGAAAGATTCAACTGTTGAGATAGTTTTCATTCGAAGTGCTGATGCGATGGAAGCAGTTCGGAGTTTAAAGAAGAACAACATTTTTGGCCCAACTCTTTTAAAATACCAGCTCTATCACCTCTCAACTCCCCCGAAGACGTCGGACGTGGACAGGGCTTGCACAGCACTGGCCTATCCAGCATCTGAGGGCACTCTCAACTCATCAAAGTCTGCTGAATCAGGGTCTCAATCAGCAGGTGAGGCACAGCCTGTCGAGTTTATTAGGAAGAATCTTCAGATGATGACATCAATGCTGGAGAAGTCCGGAGACAATCTCTCCCCAGACACGAGAGCCAAATTGGAGAGCGATATTGAAGTCCTCCTCAAGAAGGTGAGTTCCATGGCGGGTTCTTCCTCAACGTAAAGGAACCGTTGTGGATTTTCTTTCATCAGGTTCTATCAAACCCTTCGTTAGTCTTGTTGGTGTATTGTAGGTGTAGTTTATGTATCCAAGGACACAAATATTGCCTAGGCAATTCGTGGAGCTTCTCTGTTTATTAATAGTACTTCTAGTTTTCCCTTTTTTCCTTTCGTTACAACATCGTATAAGCAATGTGAAGCCTTTGCATTTCATGAGACGTCTCATACTTTTGACAATCTTTTTCCTTGTGTAGGCAAGGAATTTAGCCATAGTTTTTACTTCTAACTGTGTGCTTATCCCACGAAGCGGACACATCCCATAGGTCAAGAATGTTGAGGATTGTTGGGAGGGAGTCCTACATTGACTAATTTAGGGACTGATCATGAGTTTATATAAGTAAGAAATACATTTCTCTTGATACGAGGTATTTTGGGAAATTCCAAAGCAAAACCATGAGAGCGAATGCTAAAAGTGGATAATATCATATCACTGTGAAGGTCCGTGATTCCTAACAAAGAAGTTCATGTAGAAATATTCATCATTTTGAGCGTAGTTTGAGTCTCACGATGCTTTGTCTCAGTAGAAATGAGCTTTCGTTCTTGTTTAGCCGAGGCAACGTCTTAGCATCGTCACCAGAATGACTCCGCTTGCCATTTCAGTGACCAACTTCATCCAATTCAAAGCCCCACTCCTACCCCAGCTTCGTTGTGGATCAACGTTGCCTCATAAGTGTAGCAACATGGTCTTTGCAATGAGCAAATAATATAGGGCCCGTTTAAACCCCAACAGAGAAGAGTACAGGAATCCACTGGCCCAACACCACCCTGAAATTTCACGTGAGCATTTTCACAAACAGGTTGCAGGCGAGGCTCCGGAATCGTAATAATAATGCGATCATGGCGTAGAATTCGGCTGAAAAAAATGAAAGCAAAGAGGAGGAATCTGCAACACCATGGTTTTTGTACACTTACACTGTTGAAGGCCTTCTGATTAATTGTCACTACACACATATGTACACTATTTTGTCTACACGTAGAACTTTTTTCGATAAAAATAAATAGTAAACCACACCCATTGCCCTATTTGTTTGTCATGTCATTTTCAGGTCGAAGATGCCTTTTCTATCTCCATCCCCGATCAAATGGGAAATATTAACTCCCTTCGTTCACCATTTATCGACGATCGGTGTCGGTGAGTTTAAATCTTTCCTCTCAAGCTTCTTTAACTTTGAATTTTGATTCTATACAGGTTTTATCTTTAATCTTAATAGGTTTATTGGACAAACATCGGTTAGCTTGACATGGAAGAAACAGGTGACAACCACTGAAATTATCAGGTTTATCGAACAACGTTCAAAGGATACGAACTCAAACCTGGTATAACTCAACCAATACATATTATATCCTTTTCTTTTACGGCTAAAAGACATGCATGAGAGGAATATTTGATGCATGTGATCTACCATCTTGATTATCATACTCATCATTACTCAAATATACTTAGAACTCAATAATCCCTTTACTTGAAGAAAAAACAAGTCTAATTATATGATAATTACGTTCCAAATCATACTTGTTCTTTGTTCTTTTATACTACAAAAGCACTCCCTAGATAATCTTCCTCGATAACACAAGAAAAATCCTAACAGAGAGCCTTGGATTAGCCGACACAATCCCAAAGCCTCACTCCAAATTAAACAAAAATCAAGACATATTCTTAAGAAACTGATAGAAAGGAGAGGAAATCAAGGCAAATAGTTCTTGATTTCATTCGAGCCTTGCCCTTTTGATTCCCCTGATCGGATTTTAGACCAATGGGTTCGTTGTTGATGATCCGTATCCATTCATCATCCCATTCCAAGACGACCCAATTCCATTTATAAATCCATAGGACTCAACTTTCTCAGAACATCCCTCCTGATCTTGCCATTCCAAAGCCAAAAGCTTTGTATTCGGCTTCACTTCCATTGCATTTGGATCCTCATTTTGTTCATGTTCATAAGGAATCATCACTCCTTGTCCCATGCCTGCCGCGTTCCCATCAAGTGAGAGTCCATAAGGAGAGCAAAGGCCATGGAAACTCGGCGACAGAGCATGGCCAGCAGCGGCAATGTGATCTCCAGCAAACCCACCCACCATGGCCAAATGGTCGGAGTTTGTGGGGTTGTAATGAGCATTGCCAACAAGGGCTTCCATTTTGGAGTCCATGAAGTCGATTGGTCGAGCGGTGTGATGGTGAGCTTCAAGCATTCCTATGCTTGAGATGAAATTTGGTGTTCCAATAAGGGGATTGAACTGAGAGGGGAAGTGTACTTGATTTGAAAACGAGAGATGAAGATCAGTGGGATTATGATTATGAAGGGAAGAAGAAGAAGACGCTATATGATGATGATGGATCTGGGAAATAGGTTGTCTTGGTTGTTGTTGTTGATGATGAATCGGGTCATTATTGGATTTCTTAGTAGTAGTAACTTTCTTGTTCTTCCTGCAACCACCACCGACCGGGATGTTGCGGAGAGTGCCGCCTTTGGTCCAGTACCGACGACAAGTCTTGCAAAAGTAGCGAGGCTGAGAGAGGCTGTAGTTGTTGTAGTAACAAAATTTGGTATGAGTTGAGTCACATCTTGGGCATTTCAGTGCTTGGTCATGTTGAGGCCTCAGCCTCCTCTCTGTCAGTGGCCTTGAACATGACAGCATGTCCCCTGATAATGACGAACAATCCATGCCTGACTCCTCGTTACCACTTCCCTAAACCAAAAACACACAACAAAAATGTCAGTTCTTTGTCAATGCCAGACTCCACACGGCTCGGCTCGAGTCGGGTACTAACTAGGCTTACTCAAAAGAGAAGAAAGGGGGAGTTTTGATGATATATACCTGTTGTAGCCAATCAGAGGAGTCCATGCAGACTTGAAGAGAAGTAAGACCCATGAATGAACTGAGAAAAACAGAGGAACCCACAAAAACTTCACTTAAAACTCACTCCATTTCATTATCCACTGACAAAATGGGCACCAAAAACAGCTCCATTAATCCCAAAGAGATCAGTTTCAGAAGAAGAAGAGAATGGGATGTGAAGAAGAAGGAAGAAAAAGAGGTATATTTGAAGAGATGGAAGGGGAAAAGGGTAGCAGCCACTGTGTTAGTTAGCTTAGCAGAGAGATGTTAAGGATGACAAAAACATCGTCGGTGGTAAGAACATTTCAGTGGGTCCCTACACTGTCTGTAGGGTACCCCACAAGGAACACTAAAGCAACCAAAAGACAACTCCAACGTGGCAAAATGGAGGGCTGTGATTGGCTGAGCTTAAGGGAAGAAGAAGCTGATGTGGAAGTAGTAGAATGGTGAGAATTTTTGGGTCCTCGTTAAAGAAAGCATCCCCAAAGAGCACTCTACTTAGGGGCCCAAAAAATGGAGCGTGGGACCCTTCTCTCCTCCCTCTCTTACAAGCAAGGCATAGATTCTTCCTCTCCTAATCTTATGACACTAATTCCTTCATCCAAATCTTCTTCTTTTTGTTTGGGGGGGGCACTGCCAGTTTTGTTTCATGTGACTGTTTTTTTCTCTTCCTTTTTATGGCACAATTTTTCAAAAAACCCTTCTAAATCAACTTTAGAACCAATAAAAGAGATTGACATGTTATCATATTGTAATGAATTGAATAAGTACTCCTCGTTGCATTGAAAACCCGCCATTGTTGTAAAGTTTGATTAAGTTTGACTTAGCGGGAATTATAGACATGTAAAGTGTGATTTAAGGAGTCTTTTGATGAACCTAAAGACAATGTTTTCGAGGTGCTTGTATTCACGAGGTCTCCGATGTTTTTGCACTATTGGATTCTCGAATTCATATTAGGGTTATGCAAAATTTTGAATCTGCATTCAACTGTTGGTTCGAGGTGGTTGACACGTGGATTGTGGCAGCCTTGTTGGATAATTTTTCACCCGTTAGAGAAAAATTATGTGTGACTACCTCGTTGAATAATTTTTTAGGAGTTTGTAGTCACAAGGTGTTTGTCTGGTTGTTTTGCACTATTGGATCTGAAAAGTAATCAAAGTGGCTGGTAGGTTTGTATTGTTGGATCTTGACGTCGTATCCCGTGATTATTTAGAAGCATGCAAATTTTCGAATATAAAGGACGGTCGGTAGCTGCATTGTGGCCATCTTACTAAATATTCTTTTTAGGATTGAAATAAAATATAAGATAAATATGGGAGAAAACATTAGCGGGAGAATGAGGAGAGCATGTGAGAAACAAAGCTTGAGGAACACACTTAAAGGGACCAAAGAGAAGTTAATGTCAAACCTAAAAACAAAAGTGGAGTCTCCAACCCCACGTTGATTCCCTATCTCATATTCATTAATTTTGTTCTCTTTACAAATTTATTTATTTATTATTATTATTTTACTTTAATTCTAAAATTTGAATAGTTAAATTAGGTTCATTTAACTCCTCTCGGTCAGTCACTGTCATAATTACTCTATCAGGACCCGTAATATGGTTGTATAACACTTATTCTCACCTTCGAATAAGTTAACAAACTAGAATTTAGATCGTTGTTGGCACGTGGGACAATACTCAAGCCTCTAACCCCGTTCCTAAAAAAATATTATAGAAAACGGGGACAAAAAAAGTTTTAGAAAACGGTTTTAAGAAATCAATATTATAGGCTAACTAGTAAATAAGCGATGACTACACGTTTGATAGTGTATAACCTAGGTAATTACTTCCATGTCTAAAATTATTTGGTATAGAAAAATCAACCAAGACGATTATATCCAACCAAACATTTTGAAACCTTCCTCTATTTGTTATGTGTCACTCAAGATAAAAGACGTGGATTTCTCTGATGGGTTCCATTTATCAAGCTACTACTTATGAGTCAGTCGGGTTTTACCCAATGAAAGAAATGGGATATTAGAGAATGGGTACGCGACTAGATTCAATATGCAGATATAAAATCCAACTTTTTGTCTCACTCGATTCAAAAGCTACATATAATTGTTAATGCATACGTACTTCAATGGTTAAATATACATCCGTTCTTACTATTACAAAACTTAATTCGATCGTTAAGAAATCAATTTATTTTTTTAAAAATATATATATATTTCTATAAAATGTCTGGATAATTATATCTCATACATGAATGGGTTGTTGGTAGTGGCACATAATGATTTCAAAATCACTTGGATCCAAACTTTTTTTTTTTTTTTTTTTCTGTAAATGAAAATTAAATTAAAAAAAAATATTAAAATTATTCAAAATCTTGAGTTTCAAGCAACCTCCAAGATGCTGGCATCTTTCATCTCCCTTTACTTTGCATTTTTAACCCTCCCCTTTTCTTTCTTTTCAATTTCGTCCCCATTTTTCTCCTGATTTCTAAAAACTCCCCTCGTTTTTTATTATTAAAAAAAAAAAAAAAAAAAAAAAAAAAAAAAAAAAAAAAAAAAAAAAAAAAAAAAA